TATTAAATAAAAGGCTAATGGCAACAAAAAAATCATATTTAGATTTAATGTCCTTGTTCTACGCTTTACAACAATAAATTTTTTTCATACAAGATACATGGGACATTATTGTCAACTAGCAAGCATATCATGTATGGAAAAACACAAACAGTTCTAGTAACAGATTATATAATAAAGTCTAGTCGATAAATGTTGGAGCTCAAAGGTGTTTTACATGCTTAACACTCCTCCATCTGGGTTCATCCATAATCACCCAGGTATGCCTTGGCATTCAAATTAAATGTTTAATCTCATCCAGCAACAATACATATGCATAATTTTCACAGATGAAAGTTCACTTAAACAGAAAGAAGATGAATAAACAAATTATAGTGAGTAAAAGCATAGCAAGCCACAGTATCAGGAGTCCTTGACAAAGTACCTCGAGCATTACAAGAGTAGGCTCTATCACACGCTCAGCAACTGAAGCATTAGCTGCGGCAGCTGCGGCACCTTGATAATCTCTTAAAACTGCATCTTCCAAGGTTTTTGAGTCCTCCAATCCCACTTCTGTGGGCTCATCTAAAGAACCATCAGCAATAACAAGTCCATCAGCAGATGAATTCTCCTCCTCCTGCAGCTTTTTTGTTCCAAAATCAGATTCATCCCTAGAAGCTTGGCCTTCAGCGACATATTCATCACTAGTTTCGATACTGGTTACACCATCAGAAGATTCTTGGCTGATAGTGTGATGGACATGTTCCATTGGACTAGCCTCGCTAGCATCTGATGAAAGTATGTGGTTTGCTAGACCTTGTCCAACATGTTTGGTGGCAGATGATAAAAGAGGGCAGTCAGGTGGCAAAGCAGGCTTTGCTGTCCATAAACCAGAACCATCATCACGAGTGTATATCTGAGGAGGGGCATACCACTCATGGCCGTCAACTGTGACTAGGACAGACTGCAGCCAGATGAAGCGTCAATCTTGACAAAATAAACAAATACATGGACAAATACACATACAAACAAATGTATGTAAATATTCATATACATCAATAGCAAAAAAAAAAAATTGTCATATACATATCTTACAAATACATAGATACATGTTTATGTGCTCGCATCCAGAGAGCATGAGAAGAGGGTTTTAAGAACAACCCACATATGACAACTGGATTAGGAAATAATTTCCTGTTTTTCATCACTAAATAAAAATCAAACCATTTTTGTATTAGGATTGCCACTGTTTTCTTATTAGTGTGGCCTCTTGAACTATTATCCCCAACTTAATCCTGGATCAAAAATAAGCAAAAATTCTACATAAAATCCATTCAATTTTCCAAGAATGTTGAGCCAGGTATGTAAGCCATGTATTGGAGAGGAACTTAAAAGTAAGGGCTTTTGGTTCTTTGCACCCCGTTTTGGTCTTGCAGTTAACCTCAACTCAATAAATCCTTGTCCCAACCATATGGGATCAGCTACATGACTCCTATATTTTCATTGTGCTTTGTTAAGGGTCATATATTCTATTAAATTGCAAGCAATCATATCTTTTTTCCCTATCTCATTCAAAATTAATTTCAGACTACGTCTACAAGTAGATTTTGTTTAAAAGGAGGTTTTTCCAAAGATGCTAAAAGATAATCATCATTACCTTTCTTCGATGACGATCAGTGTATCTTACAAATTCCAATGGTATTCTTGCACCCCTTGACAGTTTAGATAGTACCAAGATTAGGTCTTCAAGACGGCATATTTCTTCTCCTGCAAACTTCTTAATGATGGCATGCCGTGGAACTCCAGCCCTAAATAGCATATACCTGCATTTCTCAACAAGAATCTATCCCAGTTTGAAACAAATATCAACTAAGAATTAAATTAGCACTCTAACTTAACACGAAAAATAATATACATACCCTGGTTCGGTAACATAGACAAGACCAGAATGGAAACGGAAATTTCTAGCCTGTATTAAGAAAAGAGGAAAGTAAGTCATGAAATTCCCAAAGATGATCAATATTAGCAGCTGGATACCTACATCTAGAAAAAGAAGATTGACACATGTCACGACAACATAGAACTAGATTAAGTACTTTTTTGTATTTTAACTTCAGATGAGAAAATGTCAATTCAGTCAAAACACCTGGACAGAGTGAGTTTTTAAATGAAGATGTGTGAATGTGTTAAAACAAACGATGAAACTCTTACGTATAAGGCTATGTCAGCAAATGGCTGTGGAGGTCCCATAAAGAGCAGAACTCCAATTTGAGTATAAAAACTGAGTAGGTCCTTAAAGGATGTTGGATGCAACTGAGCTGGCAGAGAAGTCATTTTTGTCCTTGGAAAACTTTTTCAAGGATACCAAAGCATAATGAAATATGGATAGGGCATTTTTTCTGGGAGGATGAATGCATACCCTTACAAATTCTTTAATTCAATTTGTGGGAATTTTTACCCTTGATGGGGCCTATCATACATTCCTTAACCATATTAGAAGTTGTGCTTATTTCATATGACGCAAAAATGTTGGCATTAAATAGACGTTGGCATGCAACAAGCTAGTTTCTTTAACTAAAAAATGTCTAACTCTTAAATGTTATGGCATGAGGGCAACAATAGATAATCCAATCATCTACTTCTTCTCCTTGAAACCACATGATATTAGAGAATGGAGCTAAAAAAAGGTATTTTGGGAAAATATGCTAAGAATGGGGTTTTCATCCATTTTGAAATATCCAGGCAATCCAAGAGCACACTAAAACAGAGTTTTACATATTTACAAGAAACTAGAAATGTATTACTCTCACCCTTGTGAACCCTTCTGAACCACAGCCATTTTGCAAGGATCCAATAGAAAGTGAGTCAAACACATACACCATAAACACCCCCATGGCCAGTATAGGCTGTGTGCAAAATCTGTGTTCCCTAGTGTTTATGCAACATTTTTTTTTGGTCAGAGTGTTTATGCAACATGGCAGAGTACAAAATGCACATAAATCATACTCAGCGGATAATCCTAGTAATAGAAGTCTCTCTGGCCAAGGCATTGAAACTTGTAGTAAGCAAAGGCATCATAATGTGACCAACCTGTTGATAAGAAAGTGGCTGAATCACAGCACCACTAACTTCCAAGAAGTAGTCAGGAGTTATTGAGTGCAAGTTCTGAACCTGAAGCAGCATTAGGATAACAAATTAGCTTTGCAACAAAGCAAAACAATAACATTATAGTACTGGAAATAACAGCCATATCGTACACAATTGCTTATGTAAGTCACCAACACACGGTTTCTTGAAGTGAAAACATAAACCACATTAAAGTTTCAAAAATTATTTTTCATTAAATATTCATCTCCAGAAACATCTAAAGCAAGCATAGAACCAAAGCAGAGACCACATGGTACTAGAGAAGAAAACTCAATTTAAAATTAGAAACAAGGGCTACAAAAGTTCAGTTCTCAGAACAAATGAAAGCACCAACCAAACAAAGCAGGCCATCTTATTTTAAATGCCAAGTCTTATCTTATGTATAGATAACATAGAATAGTGATGAAAATATTCTGCTCAAAGATGAAAAATTAATATTAGCTTCAAAATGCATTTCACTGTCAAATTTTGAATATGAATAATTTTAGTCATATGAAACATAATTATTCACGAGTTAACTCATACTATAGGTATTCATTCTTTCTTAGATTTCACCACCCAAAAAATTTCCAATCAATCATTAGGTACATAATTATTTATGAAAAAATAAAGTTATATGCTACATATAAGATACCATGCAAATTTCCAATAGAAGATTAGTTTAACTGTAAGGCGCACTGAAAAAAATAGAAGTTTGAGCACGTTGTTGTTTGCAATTCAAGCATCATTTCCCAACTTAGTTTCTCAAGATCTCCTTGAAATATAAAACCGGGGATCCGCTACACATCATCCTCTATCACAATTCAAAACTCTCTTTTAAAGATCAATGACAACTTAAATCCCATATCAACTCCTTTTCTTGATAAGAAACAACAATTTTACTAATAATATAAGGTGACAAAGTGTTATAAAAACCAATCCAAGGTAGACATCCCATATCAACTTCTTTTCATCCCATTTGACCTCATTCAAATCAAGTCTTCATAATCACATGTAACAAATGATACCCTCACTTTTTTCGGATCAATTAGTGCTCATGAAAGCTAGAACATGTAGCATCAATTGTGACATAGTGAAATCTTTTCAAGTTTCTCTCTTCTGATGGATCTAAATTCACAGCTAGCCTACCTACCTCCTAGCCATCCATTCTCGTCACAGGCAGCAACAGATGAGCAATGCTACCAACTATGAGTAATTATTTTGGAAGTTGTAAACTAATGTAATCACTGCCCATGTTGGCTTGCAGAAGCCTAAAATATAATTATCTCCTTAGCCACTGGTCAGTTCTGCATTTAAGGGTATTGCAACGAATCGTAAGACTATTGACAGCGACATTTTGTGTGTGATATGTATGCACTGCACTTGTATCTTGTAATCTGACATATTAAGGCCTATCAGATTGTTTCCAAAAGTCTAGCAGGTATAACATGATGACATCATTATATAGCAACCATTTGAACCAAGTTAATTCCTCCAGATATTATTAATTTGTTGTAAAATCCCTCCAAAAGTTGTTGATTAATAGTAATTTATGGAAAACTAACTTTTAGATGGTTGACTTTAAACGCCTCAAAAATTATAAAAACAACATGACAATGATAATCTTCATAGATTTTGGGAGTATTAGATGGGGGCAGAACTTCATATCTCAGAACAGGTCCTAATTCGGCATAGCCTTAGGTGGTCCATATTACAGACATCAACAAAGAGGAAAAGTACAAATTTCTGCTTATTTCCTCATATTTCATTCGTTCCAAGAATCCACATTACTGGTGATGCAGTTTGACATTTTGGCTCTAGAACAAAACCCACTGACTAGTTTAGATTCATTCCACTGCAAAATATTCTCAGAAGGGTCACATTCTGAAATCTTCCATTCAGAAGAGCCTGTAAAAGCCAGTCACTTCCTATGTGGAATATTTGTGTATTCAAAAAAATGCTTTCACCGCTCTCTCAGACCAATGTCACCAACAAATGTACATTATTTCCAGTGCAATTAGGATCCAAATGAATTTGGCTGATAATAAGTGGAAAACCGTTTTGATTATAGAATCACAAGACAAAACAGCAATGCACATCAAGGTTTAAGACCTAATTTGCAGTGGCACATTCATAACACAATTATACCAGATCCACAAGATAAAGAAGACATGAATCTTTCATTGAAAGAACCCAATGTCATCCACATTTACCCAATGCCCTTTCCAACTATGCAGAAAAACCAAAAATGAAGGAAATGGTATTTGCACACAAATCAGCTAGTTCGGCCTTTTCTAAATAATCTTTGTTAGAATGAACATCCCAATTTGGGAAAATGGGTTATTTCATTATCTATTGCCCAAAATATGTGAATTACAATAAGAAAAGCTGACCATTTTGCCGGATAGATTGTGAAATAATTAACTTAAAACACAGAAGATGAACCAGTATATCTCACCACCAAGTCGAAAGTCAATGTTGTGCCACCCCTTTCAATCTGTAGCTCAACCTTCTGGTCGATACTATCATCAAGTAAGGATTCTGTCTTCAGGAATTGGGTAATCACCTGCACCAGGATTCTAATATAATTGATGATTGCTACTATTAAAAAATACAATAAAGACCACCCATGCAGGTGTGAGAGCTCTTTAACATGCAATTCTACTTAGATTCCACAGTTCAGGCAGCATGGCTCTTTGAGCAGTATAGTAAGACTTCATAGTAAAGGGAACTACTGAGATATAAGCAAAATAATAACGTAGGAATATAAAATAAAAAGTCCAACTTTGAAACAAAGAACAATCGATGAAGAATCAAAGCCGAGGAAGACCTCTTGGGGGTGATTCGAAACAAAGAACAGCTAAAAAAAAACCCAGCAAAGAAACATCCACCGACTGGAGCAGAAACGTAGCAAAGAATAGCAAATTGGTCTGATATTTGTTTGAACAGAGACGGCAACACAGCAAAGAACAGTGAATAGCGAACAGGGACCCAGCAACCCAGAGCAGCAAACAACGATGTGATGAACCAGAACTCCAAGGCTCCAAATCTTGGACAGTGAGAATTCAAGCAAGATTTGCCGACAGTGAGAATGACATCCTTCGTTGACCCTCTGATTTTGTTTTTCTTGAACTGGGTTACTCTAATCATGGGATCAAAACATGCTCTGATACCATGTTAACTTAGATCAATCATAGAAAAGATAAGAGAAAGAAAAAGAAATATTATTGAGGCACAATAAGCCAGTATAATATGATGGAAAAATACATACAAGAGGTATTCATATAGTAGGGCAACATAAAAGAAAAGCACAAATGACTAAGTTATCGCTAAGTCTAAATATGCTAACTATGTAACTTCAAGTTAAGAAACAAATGACTTCTAATTATCATGGACAACTTGAATTTTGCTCAAGTTAACTTCTAATATGATTCACAATACGCAAAAGGCATTATGCTCAGGATAATAGAGCTCAGAAACCAATCAATTCAACAATGCAAGATGAAAAAAAGTGAAGGGAGGAAAGTCAATACTCGTAAACATTTCCAATAAAAGATTCGAACTATTGTTCCGTAGAAAAGAAAAAGGTCCAAGCATCATAAAATCATCTAGCAATGGCTAATGAAGTAAGCATAAAACCATCAACATTTTATTTTCTTTCCATTTCTGTCCATTTCACTCACTTGTCATTTATTTCACCAATTTCCACTTTTGAATTAATGGCAAGAGATTGCACTGAGTAGAGATGGAAAATATGAAATGGAGAGGATGTGGACCCAACCATACAAATGATACAGATTAAATGGTAAACTTACCTCACCATTCATGCGAACAAGCACATCGCCCGGCTCCAAATGCTTATGGGCTGGGCCACCTGGTACCTGCACGAGGCCAGGATGACAGAAGATATTAGATAGCAGAGAACTATAAACACAGCCTAAAATATTAAGGGAATCTTACTCACCACGGAATCAACGACAAGCATACCAGTTTCACCAGGCGGGGAAGCATGACGCACCGTCTAATCCAGACAAAAACTTAGTAAGGCATTCACGAATCTCAAATTATTATATCACTAAATTATAGAAACAAAGAATGCATACTTGTTCTGTTTCAATTTGGAGACCAAGACGACGTGTCTCATCAAATCCTTTGTGCGAAAACGTGACCTATATCATGAATAACTGAAGCCAAATCATACAAAAGAAATCCTGAATGGCAAACAGAAGCAGAATAGATAGAAACAAGCAGCATTTTATGTTACTTTGCAAAGAAGATGCAGTTGCAATGATTATCTTTCTAGCATAGAAAAACAACCATAAAATAAATAAACACAGTACCGCAAGCATACTCAATCATCTCCAGAAGACACAATCCAACTTCCAGAATCATTTGGAGATCCATAATTAACTGCCACTTTCCAGTTCTCACGAATCTCAGAGGACGCCTTGTCTTTAATGGAAAACTATATTGGCGGTTGGCACCCTACAGTGTTTAGCACAGTTGCAGGAATACCCTCATGATTTCTGAATTTACAATGCACCCCCTATAAAAAAATGTACTTAACAGCCATCAACACAACTCTAATATTTTACTTATACCTCCAGCCTAGAAAATATATTTAATCCAAAGCCAAAGCCAATCCAAACAACCATTACTCCCATTGGAACAAACTTTATCCTTTTTCAAGGAGTTTTGGTGATGGCTATGGTGGCTTTCAGAGACAAGGTGAGAGATAGTGTGAGACTATGTCATGTGTGGAGGTGGTGGGATGATGGGGTTGTCTATTAGTGGGGGGAGGTAGTGGTTCGATGAGGGTGTCTGACGGTGGGTGGTGGATCAGGTGGGAAGTTGTTGACCTTCTATTTGTGTTGTTTTAAAAATTTCTGATCACTTCGGATTGAAATATAATAATAAACGTTCTGTTTGATGCAATTTTAACAGAAATTAATAATGGCAACAATGACCACAATAGAAGCTGTAAAAAGATAAGAACAACAAACCTGAAGTGTGCCACGTGGAATGGTGACCGCTTCCCACCTATTTGTAACTGAATCTCTTCCTTTCTGCAAGAATTTTAAGGCCCGTACAACCTGAAAGTTATATGATGCCAAGATTTAGTGCTTGGATCTGTGACGTCACTGTAACATTTGTGCATATAAGGAGTCACAGAAGAAGCCAAAAAGAAGTCCAAGCTAAAAGGTTAATATCAGCAGTAATAGAAGTCCAGTGTCACATATGAATAACAACAAATAGACTAGAAAAGGCCAAATTTGCATGAACATCCTAGGTCTCATGCTCCAAAGAATCAACCATACGCATTGTCTTATATACACAGAGGGAAAGGTAATAGCCTCCTTCCGAAAAAAAAAAAAAGGTAGTAGCCCAGACATTTCCATTGTGCCTGGCAAATGCAAATGTAGAAACAGCATCCACTAGAAAAATGGTGATACTTAATTTGAACTGTAATATACCATAAATATAAGATATGGCACAAAATAAGTGCCCAATAACCCCAGAGAAAAAACAAAAAAAAAAGCAGGAAATCTCAAGCACCCGCTAATAATACAGTTAGGGAGTGCAAAGAAGGCCAATTTTCAAATTCAGATGATTGGTAACGTAGAAAAGATAAAGGTTTTTGCTATCCATAGGGCCAAATACAAAAGAACAATACTTTGACGAAGATTCTACAAAGTGCCTTTGTAATCAAATAAACGAACCCAAGCATTCTGATTTGCCAATTTGTTGAATATAATTAAAAAGTGAACTATGAATAAGAAATAAAGATATTGGAGAACGGTAGAACTAAAAGGACGTGCACTTGACTGCACAAATCAAATTAAACATTAAAAAAGCATTGATATCAAAACAAGTTAACTTAGATATGAAAAAGAGAAAGGGAAAAAATCAAATTAATTAGGAAAGTACTTGAAATGAAAAAATAATTTGATTTGAATATGAGAAAGAGAAAGGGATAGAAAAAGAATATGATGTTAGAAAGGTGGGAAAAAAAGGAGAAATTAAACTATCGAACTGAAAAGCGAGGACAGTTTTACTGCTGACTTTGGGTGGATAGCTACGTAAGAGATTACTTCTTTCTGAATATCACAAGGTTCACCATCCCTCCTTTTATACTAACAAAACTGTCATAAGGCCCATTTTCACTTAAATGGAGGGCATATCCCATAAGTTGAGGCATGTGAGGTAAAACTCTATTCCAAAGGTAAGTTTTCTTTTTATTTTCTATTACCTTCCCACTTTTGGAGTAATTATTACATCTCCAAATACATGTATGACAAGCTAGAAGTGAAATAATTGGTCATGCTGATCTGCATGACATGGAGAAAAGTAACTGCTATATAGAGTGGATAGCAAAGCAATTTCGAGTAGCCAACAACAAATGGTTCAACTAAGGCTTTTTTCAGCTGCCCTAGATGCTCTCTCTCACCCCTCAAACTGTAAAGCACCCTCCCCCTAAAGGAACAACTTTTTCATAGACCTTCAAAGCTCTTTCAAGGCATATGCCATCAAGCTATTCAAAAACAGTTCTAAACCCCAGCTATAAATTTATATTTTCCTATTTGACAGATCCCAAAGAACAGGATGTTAAACTCTCCTCAGAGCTCCATAGCTTCCACAAATCACATCTCATTGAACTATGTCACAAGAAAATTATTCATAATCCTTACACTATAATGTAGGAATAGCTATATCCGAAATTTGACATACTGATTATACACCAAAATTACTTAAACTACATATTACGTCCTATAATTGGTAAATACAAACAGTCACTTGCCCAGACCCATCCTGAATCAACTTTAACAGCACTGATAAACCTGCATGTAAGTGGGCAAGTCTTCTGGAAGAATATCTAATTATCAATGCACATACTCAACTTTGGTGAATCATTGTAAGTTCAAGCTAATTCAGCCCTGGGGCAGCATTCCAAACTCCAGGTTTAAATTAGTATGGTGCTTAACCAACGTAAATGTATTAAGTCGCAGCTTTCATAGTCAACTGCACGAAATAAGCCTCACCACTGAAAACATCATAAACATTGACAACGGTCACAAGAAATAACATAAACTACACTCACTCGTTCTAAAGGTAAGAAAAATGCCGACGAGCATGATGACTTGAATCCAGCATTTAAGGCAACTGCTCTGCCTTGCCAATCAATTACAGGGGAACCACTTGAACCACCTTTCGTCCCAGAAGCTGCCTGTAGTAATAAGAGCATCTATCAATCTCTTGGCTCAAGATAGGACTAACCAGACCACAACAACAACAAAAAAAAAAAAAAAAGAATATCCTGTAAAATTAGCTGCACTCAGTCACTTCATTGAGCTTCTAAAACTTAAATAACCTTCTATAGGACCAAATCCATATGATCAAATTGCAGGAGCAAGATTTCAATATTGAGTGAAAAAGCAATTTAGGCTTGCTGACATTCAAAACAAAAATGCAAAAGAACAGACAACGATGGAAGGGATACAATTTTTAACAAAAATTGATGATCAAATCAATCCCAACAAATATTTCACTCCAGTAATTCGTAATTATCTGAAAAGTAACATTAGTATCACAATACTTACTTGAATGTAGAACGTATTGAAGTCATTGTAGCCATCTCTGCACATAACGCAGTAACTGTTAGCACACATGAATGGTGGCCAAATCTGGTATATAACCAAAAAAGTTATTTAATAAATAAAAATATGAAATACATCAAAGGAGAATTGTTCACAATTATTCCATTACAAATTTACATCATCCAGAAAAATTTGTAAGGCAGAAGTTAAAGTTAAGAAGTAAATGATACAATATAATCTTAAGAGAAAGAGAGAACAAGAGAAGAAGAGAGAGAGACAAGAATAATCTTTGTGTAGGCTATGCTGCCCTACACCCACTTATTTAGTATAAATTGGTATTATAGATAATTACAATATTACCCTACACTACCAATAATATAAAATAAGCACTCAAATGATTAATATCAGAATAATTGTACTATGACAATAAAGCTATGAACATTGCAAAATGAAAACTTATTTGCCTCCGAGCATGAAGAAGTTCCTATTTGAGAGATTTCATGTCCGGAACGATTATAGCAATGGTGCACAAGCTCCATATACATCTTTTATGCTATTGGAAAATGCAAGCTCCAATAGTAGGGCCACATTCTGCAGAAACCAGGATTACCTCCATACTTAGGGACTTCGAAAATGAGGCGCTATGCAACAAATAACCAATACTACTACTTTAGAATTCAAAAACTACTTTATGATAAAGAGTGAGTGTGGCAGAGTAGCTCTGATATACTGATGAATTCTAAGGCCGTATAAGAAATGAGGCTTGAAATAATCGATGATTTGTATTCAAAACAAATTTATGATAATTGGGCTAATTTTAAGAATGGAAGATGATCAATCATAGAAATTGTCATCACTGAGCTGTAAAACTGTCAGAGACCACTTCAAATTTATATTTTTGAATACTCTAGCCAAGCAGCAAACAGAAAAGGAAAAAATGTTAAATCTAGCACATACTTTCTATAGTGAGGAGCATCTCTATCCAAACGAGCCAGGGTACCAGCCAAAATAGAGACCTGCAATTTTATGGAAGAGACCAAAAAACACCTCATGCCCAAAAAAGAGAATAAAAACAAACCAAAAAAAATGAGTAATAAATCCAAATCATACAGCAGCAGTAAGCCAATTTCTAAATGTTGGTGACTAAATAATTCAATCAACTTGGAAAAACTCGGGACAATTATGCAAAGGCGAGTTGGACGCCAGAACAATAATATAACTACAAAATTAGCATGAAAATGAATAAATACATCCCCAGCAATGTCATAAAGACAAAAAACATGTTTACCATCTAAGACTTGTATCATGTTTATAAGCCAATTCAAACTGCATCTTGACCTAGTAGACCATTGTTTTCAACACTGTTTGGTTAACAACAAATATATCTTACCCTTCTGACACCAAATGGGTTAGTTTCCCATTATAAATCATAATGTCAAATACCTTGTATACTATAATCCATGTGGGTAACATCATTCTATATGTGCATGGCCACAACTTCAAATTAAGCGATATGATTTGGTTTGATTAGCAATCTCTCACACGTGTACTCATTAATTTGATTAACAATAGGTAAGACCAAAACTTTCTGAATTTATTTCTAGCCTTCCACCGACCTGAAAGAATGCATAAATAAATGTAAAGTTTCAAATTCAAGCACCATATATAAAAGTTCAATTTATTTAATAAGAAAACAAATAACCAACATAACTCAAACTATGCTAAAACCAAGCAACAAAATTTCCATTCGTTTCCACTGAAAAAACCTAAAAATCTCAATTTCTATGGCAACTGAAAGTCTGAAACGAATGAGTGATGAAAAATCGAAATTCTATGTTCTGGAATGTTTCCAGGTGGATAAAGATGTTTCAACAAATGTCTTATTTTTTTCTGTTTCAAAACGTTTCCATTTTTGAGCAAATCAAGACTATATACCGGATCCCTACTTGATTCAAAACAAAACAGGAACGTCACTCATATTGAAATACTTCAATTGATGAACTCCTTGTGGGAATAACGAAAAATCTATTAAGATTGTAGCAACAAAACGGACAGATGAGATAGCAACAAATCACAAAATTTCTCCCTATTCTGGTGAGTTATTCATGATTATGCATGACAAGAATGACGAAGATAAAATGGTAAGTCCGATAACAAATAGGAGAAATGAGTAATTGGACAAGATTTTCAATTGCAAAGCAAGATATAAAGGCTTTGCAGCACACCGTGATTCAAGTGCTAGCACTATAAAACCTTTGATCTTAACTGGCAGTTTTAATTCCTCATTTACTTATCCTGGCTTCGTTAACTCTTCTCATGCATATATCACAGAGTTCACATACAGAGAGAGAGAGAGAGAGAGAGAGTTGAAACTCCAACAGGAGGTAAGAATGCATAAGACGATGTAGTAAAAGAGCCAAAAAAAAAATTATTTTGCACCCTCGATTCAAAAGTGTTTCTGCCAACTTCTTGTTAGTATAAAGATTAAAAAAATTTCATATTATACCCCCCAAAATATTGTAATATAACATTTCTATTAATTTCTGTTATTTTTTCGGTTAAAAATAACAAAAATTAATAAAAAAATCATATTATAACACTTTTTAATGCATGTAGAAATTTAATCTTTAAGGGTATAAAATAAAAATCTTAAAATTTTTTTGGTTACAAAGTCCAATTCGCCCAAAAAACATAATTTCCAAATAAAAAATGAATTGGGTAAAAAATCACCCGCACCCCTTGAGATTAGGGCAAATGACACAGAGATCTCCTAGCATTCTAATAATGACACGGAAACCCCAATCAGCATTAACGATTTCACCAAAAAGACTTTTTTACCCTCTATTTAAATGGTTAAAATTTTCAAAATAAACATCTATCAAGACCTGAACTTGAGCTTGACCCGACAAGATTAGACCCACCCACATAGGCTGAACCAAAAATTAACTGCAAACTTAACTTGAGGCAAATCCAAGATGTAGAACCCTAGATACTGCCACAACACACAACCCACCTCCATCGCATGGCCACCTCCACCCATAGTTCCGTCTGCACAAACCCACCCCCACCCCCACCCCCACCCCCAACCCGCCCACCCCACGCCACCCACCTCTACAGGACCTCTCTCTCCTCTGTCTATACAGATAGATGACCAAAAAAAACCCAGATCGAGAAAGAGAGCAAGTTGCGACTGCCCAACTCTTCCTCTCCGACTTCGATTCCCCCTATATTTTGTTTCCAATATCAAAACACAAATCCATTCCATCTCTGTGGTGTTTGATTTCTAGTTGGTGTTTATCCCATTGATGTTCGGTTGTAGAGCTAGAAGCGGGTTGGGGTAGGTGGAGGCTGGGTGTATGATGAGGAGGCTTGGGTTGGTTACAGAGTTTGTAGTTTTGATATAGGTTTGTAGAGATCTTGCATGTTCGAGAGGGCAGTGGGTATTGGTGGTGGCAACGGATGATTTGGGGCCAAAATCTTTGTGAATACCATATCTCCACTGTCATTGTGGTTGAAAGATGAAGGTTGGAGGAGACGGAAGTTGGGTTATTGTGGTGGATGACTGGTGTTTCTTCTGGTTGTTTGTTAACTAGTTCGGGTTGAGAGGTGACGGTGTTCATGTTGTGTTTGGGATTGTTGAACCGCCAGCACTGTGGGTGGTGGTGGTGGTGGTGTTATTTTGAATTTTGAGACAAATCCGGCTTATTTGATTTAAATTTGACATATTTCTGGAGTGAATTTAACTTAATTAAGGAAATTGAACTTTAATATTGATATGAATTTTAACATTAATTTTGCTTAATAGATGTGATTGATTAAATTTGCTCTAAAATTTAATACCATCTAATTTTATTTGATTTGAGTAATGAATTTAAAGGAAAAGTGTGATTTATTTGATTTGAGTAATGAATTTAAAGGAAAAGTGTGATTTTATATTAGACAAAAGTAGATGGCCTGCAATTCTCCTTCCCATGTACAAATTTATCCGTAACATAGGTTTGACCGATAACCACATTTTTATTCATTAGATAGGATTTTTCTTTATAATAAAATTTGAATTTCTATTTTATAAAAGAATGATTACAAAAAAAAAGAATGCCACTCCAAAATATAGGTTATAGTAGATTTAAACAGCATAATTGATCATGTCAGTATATTTTTTGGGTGTTAAAAAACAAATCGTAGAAGGGTATTTGTGAGAATAATAAAATTTTTGAAATGACATCATTACTTCTCATTGGCAAAATTGACAGGCATCTAAATGCCCCTGCTACACTTTATAAAAGGCGCATGGACTTTATCGAGTTTCCGGGTCCTTCCCTCATCGAGGGGTGTGCCAAGGTTTTTGTGAAATGTCACAGGATCATTTGATTTTAAGGTTAGAGGGTGTCAGTCAGTGATTTTTACCATAAATATTCAATCAAACATAACCACCAGGAGAATGTTCCTTCCTGGAAGGAACAGACAGAATCATCTATGTATACCAATGTTATAAAGATTTTATTTGAAAATTTAATGATGTAATTTCAATGTAATTATTAGATTAGTTGTGAGTTTTAATGTTAAATAGAGTCTACGATCAATCCAATCGTTGTATTAAATTAGATCTCCACATTAGATCTATGTATATACCTTCTCTCCACTATCATTTCCAACAACCCTGATCTCTAGTCCAACACATGCAGCCTCAGGAGCCAGAGGAATTTCCTCATAGCTCAAAAACTGTACTGCACCAGGATCATAACGGAAGAATCCAAAATCATGAACCTAGAAAAAAGGGCATGTAGTGTTAGTTAGATTCGGGAATTTTTTTGATAAGAAACAACCCTCTCATTTCATTGAAAGAAGAATCATAAGTGTAGATAAATACTAGGTAAGGAATCCACCTAATCGAGCAAAAATTAAAGCAAATAAAACAAAAAACAAAATTACGGAATATAAGCAGTTTTTTAGTTGTATTGGAAAGCTAATTGATAAATATCTTGAAACCCTTTTGCAACTATATCCCTTAAAGATGTCAGAACCTTCACTCTACCTCATAACAAATCATTTTCCTTCTCTTGTCTTCTAAATATTGTATGGTTCCTCTCTAATACTACACAAAAAATGGTCAAAATTGCAAAATTTCATCAAAAAAAAACGCACAACATGCTATAAAAGCCACATTCCCAGAAAAAGGCCCACTATAGTCTATACATCATTACCAAGTGCCACAACATGTTCCAAAGACTAGACACAGGGATAACAGAAAATAAACCCCAATTTAGGGGCAAGACCAGGTATGATCCACCTAAGGTCCAATGGGATCAGTATCAAGACCAGAAGACCTTCCAAATTTCATCTGCCTGCAGTTTGTTAAATGAATTCCTAGATTCAATAACTTCTCTGAGTATCATATTCAATCTAAAGACAAAAACAACTACTAAAGCCACGATAGTGAGGGGATGAAACTATGCAAAATTGTGAACAATAACGAGAAAAGACAAAAAAAAAAATCAGAAATTAACAACCGACCGGGTCTCTGTATATCGGATAGACAGGAATTTCATCGCGGTTTAGGAACATAGCCTCTGCAACTACGGGTCCTACAGAACAAAGCAATTGCAATGAAACTAAAATAAAGAAACAACAACAAAAGGACTACGTGTAATCATAAATTCATTAACTCTCTCTATGGTCTTAGCTTCTTTTCCCTGCACTTTCTCAGTAACCAAACAGAGCACAATTAAAAAAAAACAAACAAACAAAAAACATAGTTACGACAATTTAAGGCACCTGGCTTAACAACATGTCGATTGGTGAGTATAATTCCGCGACGTTTATCAACGACGAACCCCGTTGCAGAGCCAGCACCGGCGGATTCGGTATCGAAAGCACGACAAGCGGTGGTTCGGAGAACAACGACTGCCGGGATGACCTTGTCGAGAGTCCTCCTCCAATCCTTGGCAGTAGCAAGATTCTCTTTGGAAGGAGGATCAATCTCCATAGAGAGCTCCTTCATGCTCGATTCCAACCCCGAAACTCCCTCCGATCCCAATCTCTCCAATGGATCCTCCATTCAGTCTCTCCAAAGTCCTGATTTACTGATTCTATTTGATACACTGACTGGCGTTGACTGAGGTCTAGATAATAAGAGTCGTGCGTGTGTCGTAAAGTCTGTGACAATTTCCGCGAAACAGAGTATGATGTTCAGAGATTTCGTTGAAGTCGATCTTTGATTGGTTCAGTTTAGAAGTTTCTTCCACAAGTGAAAAGAGGTGATGTGGAATTACAAAAGACCCCCAAACTTATAATCAAATTTCTTACAAAGGGGGTACTTGGACATGGGTCACGCTAGGAATTAAGGCTCACACGAAACAAAGCTGATGGGCCAGCCCGACTCATATTATAAGTCCAACTTAACTTAAGAGCTCAACTTAAAAAAATTCAGTGGGTCTAGTCCATCGAAGGTCCATTCCGAACTAAATTTATCAAGGTTCGAGGATCTATATCATAAAAGGAGGCAGGGTCATTATGAGAGTTTCATCCACGCTGCCTTGAAAAAAGTCAACTATTATATTATCCTTGAACCTGATCTCAAGGAAAGTTTCATAACTGCCTCATCCGTTAAGAAGATAGCACCAGCTCCACCAGAGTAGCAACTTAGTCACTGATAAGTCATCTCAATCTATTAGGAGACGTCTATAAATGGTAAACCTCGTCAATATTTTAGGGGCATCACACTCAATCGAGCACATATCTCCCTGCTTACACACTCTCCTATCTCTCTCTCATAGCTTATATCTCTCTGCTCTCCCTACACTTCTTGAAATAATAAAGTATTAGGTCATTCTAGCCCTTCATAGTGGACATAGGTTACGTTGACCAAACCGTGCTACATCCTTGTCTCACTCGAGTTACTATCTCTTTACTTAATTACTGCATTAATTATCAGTCATTTGACAAGTAATGTGCAAAACTAATTTGTGCATCATCAAATGCTATTAGGCATATTTGGTTCGTGATTTTGAGTTAAGGGTGACAATTTTTGATTTAGCTTGATAACATGATTCGAACTTAATACAAATTTAATTGATTGAACTCAATTATAATTAGACTGAAGAAAGAATATAGTAGCTGCTAACTTTTTAGGACTATGATATTGATGTATGTCTATAACTTACGCAAATTAAGATAAGTTTTCATTATGGTGATTAAATATACTATCCAATATGTACTATTTTTATTTTAATTAGGATATGAACTTTTTGAGATGTTAGTAATGTTTTGGTTAGAGTATATTAATTGGCGATGTTGTATTATTGTAGTTTTTCTTTAGGGAAATGGATAAATGACTTTGGATTAAACTTACTATTTATTGATGTTAAACAGATTTTTATTTTGATTTTGACTCTATAAAGTACCAACTACATGAATGTAAAACAAGTTGAAAATGATTAAATGTGACGGCCTGACCCACACCAGTTAAGAATTACAAATCAAGCGTAATTTAAAGGGCCCAATTTAGAAAATACAAGTCAAGCTTAAGTCACCGGTGCAGTCTGACTCAGATCAGAAATGCAAGCCAA